TATTATTTGGTTGTGAAAAAAAAAAACCCCACAAAATTATAAAAACTGCAGATAAATGCTTGGAGCTAGGTAACCCAGACCCCAAAAGACAAATATTGTATATATTCTTTCATATATGGATGTTAATGTTCAAGCCTTTGATAGGCATGCTACAATCCACATAACCACAGGGGTTAGATATTCAGTAAAGGACTAGGGGAAGAGGGACTCTTCCAACGAAGGGGAAGTATAATATATAGTTACAGAGAGGCATGGGAGAGACTTGAGCAGGCAGTGGGAGGAAAGAGGAGACAAGGCAGGGAATACAGGGAGGAACAGATAACACTAAGGGCCGATTGAGGGATCACATGGAAACCATATCAATGGAGACCTGGGGAAAACCAAATACCTTTGCTCTGCAAAAGGAACATAGCAATAAAATGATTTGTAAGGGCGTTCCACTATACCCAGAGATCAGTGTCTTACTCAGCCATCATCAGAGAAGCTTCCTTGTGCAGTAGATGGGGACAAATGTGGAGGCCTAAAACTGGAAAATGTTAGAATGGAGACATTAGAATGCTCAGTCCTACATGAGATGTCTTCACCAAACCCCTGCCCTCAGGGTGCAGGGATCTGTGCTGAGGAGACAGAAAGATTTTAAGAGGCAGAGGGGATGGATGGATGGACGGATGGATGGATGGATGGATGGATAGATAGATGGATGGATGACAACAAGAAAAGTGTCTTCCAGACACAACAGGACTGCCACACATGTGAACTCACAGAGAGTATAGCAGCATGCACAAGACCTGTACAGCTTCAGGTCAGACTGGGTCTCAGGGCTGAGAAGGGGAAAGGGACATGAATTCCCATTCCTCACCAAGAAGCTATTCCTACTTGACATTCGCTTGCAAAAGAAAAATTAGTTTTCTCCGGTGGAGTCTCACTGGGTGTATTAACCACACTTAAGAACAGGTCCCATGCCCAGCAGTTGATAGCCAAGACAAAATGAACTCCATGGTGTTACTGCAGAGTTTTTAAATTATGTTGCTTTGTTTGGAAATTTTTTGTCTTACTGGCCTTTTGCTGGTATATTATGGTTTCTGATTTTGTCTCTTTATGGATCTCTCTTTGTTTCTTGTGTTTGCTCTTTCTTTTCTTTTTTTTCTATATTGTGTTTGTTTGCCTGTTTTCTATAGAGAAAGCAAGCATGGAGTTGGGTAGATGGGGGAGATGGGAGGAGCTGGGGGACAGGAAACTGATCAAAATATATTGTGTGGGGAAATGTTATTTAAAAAAAACTATTAAAAAAGAGTACAGACTATTTTGTACCTAGAATTATTTTTATTATATTATTATTTATTTATGTGTGTATGTGTGCCACCTGTGGAAGAGTTTCCTCTGAGATTGAAACCCTCCATCTTAGAGGGAAGCTCCGTAAGACACAGGATGTTAAAAGGAGGGAAAACAGTAGGATGGTAAAACACTACATCCTGCAGGAGAACTCACTCAGCTTGGAAAGTAAACAACTAAGGGCTTCAGGAAGTCCCTAAAACTGAGCGTATTCACTAGGCCTCTTCCACCCCACACATATATAAGCAGTAAAGATTGCTGGAAGACAATCTCAGACAACCTGAGATTCCTGAAAGAGGCTCAGTCTGAGTTGCCTGGAAGAGACAGTGTTCAACCTATTAAGCTGCCTGCAGCCTGTGTGGTGAGCTCCAGATTTCCGGGTTTTGTGACCTATCACTGACGCTGGGGTGAGCTTTGCAGCGACACAGCTGTCTTTGAGTTCTTTCTGTTCCTGTTAGCAACATTACCCATATTACCCAACAAAACCAAGCAGTTCACCAAGTTGGGCTTTGGTATATCCTTACTTTGGTTTGTCATGGGCTCCCTTTCTGGCACAAGTCAATGTTTGGTTACATATCTCAAAGAGTAGTTGTTAACAGTTGTTTTCACAAAACTGTGATTGTTTCTCAGTTTCTCTCTTAACCCGGCTATCATACAAATAGCTGAGACTCTTTCGTATTTGTTTAATAATCCTCACATCACAGAAACTGAGTAGTTATTACTGTGTTCTTAACCCTCTAAGCTAATTTGGCTTCCTCCCAGGGCACATCCCAGAAATACTTGCACTTTGTACCTGTCTTGCTCCAGCTCCTTCTCCTGATGTCCCTCAGACCTCTCCCCTGTCTGAATCCCCTACTTCCTCCTCCAACTCCCCCTCTCCTGGCTGGTGGAAAGTCCAGCCCTATTCTCTCCCCTGCTGTAAGCTGCTTTATTGGCATTCCAGGGGACAGCTGGGGAGCGGTGTTTACACAACATCGAGACAGGAGATTCTCAGAACAAGGATTGCAAACAGGTATGGGGAGGGGTACAGAAATCAGCATTTGAATTACACAATAACCTTATGCCCACAAATAGTGTCACACAGCAATGACTACACAGATTTGTGTGTACCATGTGAACACAGGAGCCAGCAGAGGCCAGAGAGGGCATCGGATTCCCTGGAGATGAAATTACAGGTTGTCGTGAGTCGCTGTGTGGGTGCTGTGAACCAAGCCTAGGTCCTCTGCAAGGGCAGTACATGCTTTTAACCACTGAGTCAGGTATCCAGTCCCCATAGAATGATTTCTTTGTAATTATAATTCATGTATAAATGAGAATATTCAGCATTTGTAATAATGGGATACTATCACTGTTGCTAGGATACCACATTATTCTCTCAAACATCAGTTGAAGCCCAAATTTAAACCTTTTAATTATCACCTTACTTACAGGAAGTTAGCGGAGATGATATTTGTTATTTATTAACCATGTCATGTTTTGTTCAGGGTGCCTGTAGCTTAGTGTTGTAGGGTCAGCCAAGTGGATTAGAATGTTTGAGATATAATCCTACATTTGAAGTTAAAACTTCAATTAAAAACACTGTTAATGAAGCCCCCCCACACCCAGTATTTGGTACTTTATAAACGGTGAAGCAAGTGGCCCAGAAGGTAAGTTATGTTTGCTGTCATTTGCAGCCTGCCCACAGGAACTTTGTCTGCTCTCCAGTAATGCTAATTGTGTGTCAAATTCTATCTACCGCTGCAGGCAACAGAGGAAAAACAAGTTGGTTAATATGTCTTCAACACAATGAAACTCTTATTTCCTATTAATTTTGTATATCCACTTTTAATAACATACGCAAAGCTAGTAATAACAGGACCGAAGACATAGCTTAATAAAACAAATTTGTTTGCTTTGCTGCTACTTTGGCTATTGAAATCTTCAAGTGTATATTAAGATAGAAATAAAATGTCGTAACATTAATTAAAAAAATTGAGTTCTGCCATTGGTTCAAAGCCAAGCCTCTGTTTGCTCAGGCAACGTGTTCTGATTGATGCTGCTGGGCATCTCTGAGGAGAGATGGCTTCCTGTGCTCCCTCTCTGGTATTTCAGTCTCAGACTTAATAAAAGGCTCCCTTGAGTGTGCTTTTTCTTGCCTGGTTTTAGGAGAGTGTGCAGAGCTGGTAATATGAAGAAAGAAACACCGGTGCCTGAGGAGTAGCATTGAACATCATGGCAACAGAGGCAGAGACAGCACCGGCTATAGAGCAGCAATGGCTGTCTCCAGAACAGCCCTGAATAGTGGCAACTGTGGAAATGGCCATCACAGTAAGACACAGCTGAACAGTTTGAGAGTGGCAGAGAAAGCCATAAAAAGCCAGAAGAGGAACTGTAGGCCCTGGTCACTGAAGAGTTCCTAAGAGCCGTCAAGTATTTAGGGCCACAAATTTCAGACAACTCAGATCCTACAGCTGTAATAGCGGTCACTGTCAAGGGCTGAGCAACCTGGACTTCTGGGAGGGCCTGGAGAATTAGGATATAGTTACCCAAGGGCTGCACAGAGCTCTAACACTAGAGGGCAGCACTTGCTGCTTCTCCTGCAGGCTTGGAACCACTATTCTCTGCGGAGCAGCGTTTGAAGAGTTTGTCTTTGCCTACCCCGATTCCTGTCCTAGCTGACTGACCAGGAACAAGAAGATGGGGTGCTAGGTGGAAGCCGCCTGTGGGTGTTTCCTTGTTACACCTCAGGACATTCACCTGTTCCTTAGTCAGTGTTCTATTGCTGTGAAGAGACATCGTGACTAGGCAACTCTTACTATGGCAAGCATTCGATTGGGGGCTTGCCTACAGTTTCAGAAGCTTGGTCCACTATCATCATGGCAGGGAGCATGGCGGCAAGCATGTCAGGCGTGGTGCTGGAGTAGTTGAGAGCTGCATCCTGATCCACAGGCAGAGAAAGAGCAAGCCTGGGCTTATTATGGGCTTTTGAAGCCTCAAAGCCCACCCCTAGTGAGCCCACCTCCAGTGAGACACTTCTCCAACAAAGTTGCACATTCTAATCCTTCTAATCCTTTCCAAGAGTCCAACTTCTGGGTGGCTAAGCATCTAAATATGTGAGCCTATGGGGTGGGGGGAGACATTCTTATTCAAACCCCACATGTAGATACCCATATTCTTTGTTTGGTTTTGTTTGCTTTGTTCTGTTCTGTTTGTTTAAAGACAGGGTTTTTCTCTGAGTATTTCTAGCTGTCCTAGAACTTGATATTTAGACAGGGCTGGACTTGAACTCACAGAGATCCCTCCTTGCCTCTGCCTCCCAAGCGCTAGGATTAAAGTCGTGTGCCACCAGTATGTGGTGGTAGACACCCATCTTAACACAACAGAAGAATTAAAATTCAGTCAGCCTCTTAGTTAATTTTGCTATAGCTTTGATGAAATGCTCTGACCAGGGCTGGAGAGATGGCTCAACAGTTAAGAACATCTGGCTGCTCTTCCAGAGAACCCATGTTCAATGCCCAGCACCCACATGGCAGCTCACAACTGTGGGTAGCTCCTGTTCCAGGGAATCCGACATTATCATACAGACATACAAAGAGGCAAAACACCAATGTACATAAAAATAAAAATAAACTTTTTTTTTTTAAAGAAATTGACATTTAAAAAAAGAGTCTCTGATCAAAGCAACTTCATTTCTCTTTGGCAGCATATAAGCCAGAAGTGGGATGTACAGAGAAGATTAACATGGCCCCTAAGCAAGGATGATGGGTAAATTTCTAAAGCATTCCATATTTGTTACAAGGTTTATTTGGGCACAGAGTTCAGGTTACATTCGGTCATGGTGGAGAAGTCCTGACAGGCACTGGAGGAAACTGGTCACCTTGTATCCACAGTCAAGAAGCAGTCAAGAGTACATGCCTTCTTAGTGTTCAGCTTGCCTTCTCTACCTGTCACACTCCAGCGTCCCCTGCCTAGGTAGTGGTTCTCCCACTACCTAGATCTCAATCAAGAATAAGATCTAGATCTCAATCAAGAATAACAATACCCAGAGGACCTTGACTCAGGTGGACATCCATGGAGAATCTGAGGCCAGGTCAGCCTTGCCTCTATTCCTCATCGGTGTCTGCTCTAGGCAAGCTCTGAGCTGAGAATCTAGTGGGTCTGGTTGGGATGCTGGACAGAGTCTGTCTGGTACATAGGGATGACTAGTTACTATAGACAATGACCTTGAACTTGGAGTTATTACCTCCCTAGGGAAGGCACTTTTATTTGCTTCATTTGTTGTCTGGGAGGATAATTGCCTCTGTCTGCTAACCTAGGCCTAGTTGTGGAAGCTTCTAGCCTCCGTACACTCTACTTAGGCCTAGAATGTTTTCAACTCCTAAGACTTAATTCTGAATAGGCTCAGCCTTTCTTGTTCTTACTGACCTTTGGCCTGGCTGGTTCAGTTCAGCTGTTCTCGCTCACGCTCTTCTCCCAACTGACTTATTCAATCTGTATTTTTCTCAGCCTCTGACTTGCTCTGCTTGGCCTCACACTAACTCCGACAAACTTTTCTAATCTTCTGGCTTCTCATTCTCTGGCTTGTTCTGTCCTCACCTGTGTCTAGCTTGTTTTCTCATTCAACCTCTTTCTGTAAAATTCTCCTGGTAAAACTGCCTCCTCTCATTCCCTGTGTCTTTCTTAAGTAGCTTCCCTTTCCTCCCTGTTCTTGTGAGAGTTGGGTGTATCCTATTCTGTCAAATCTTTCTCTGCTTGGTCACTTCTTCTGCTACTCAATTAAACATCACTTTCAAACATGGGTGCTTCTTTCTACAAACTAACTTTGCCTTCATTGTTTGGGATTAAAGGCATGTACCAGCACATGTGGACCTAAGCTTTCTTTATCTGAAACTTGCTTTATATCAGGCTGGCCTTGAACTCAGATCTGTTTGCCTCTGTCTCCTGGATTAAAGGTGTGCTTATATTCCAGCAGGATCACACAGACCTAGAGAAGGTCTTTGGATGGGATCTTTTGCCAGGGCAGCTGTGTCCTGAATTAAAATTTCTCTACAGGTTGCAATCTATATCAGTGGCAAATAATGCCTATTGGAAAGACCCAAAGCTTCCCAGGAGCTTCTGGTGGGAAGTCCCCAGAAAAGGCAGGTGTCTGTCCCCTAGTGAGATAGTACTTCCCCAGTCCCCCCAAAGATTGATGCTGTGCTGCAAAACTTGCTCTTTCCCCCCACAGTGTCAAAAGCGGATGAGACACTAAGCCTATTTTGAAAAGAGGATCGTGGGCTGCTAAACCCAGATGATGCAGGGAATTTGTTTGGTCCTTTTCTAAAGATTCTGGAAGTGTTTGTACAGGATTCCCTCGGGAGCAAGGATAGAGTTGATACAGAAAGGAGGATGGCTTCCTTTCCAGTACCTTGGTGGGGTCCCCACTCTGGACAAGCCATTAGGTAGATTTTATAATTCAATTTTAATTTAAAATGGTACTGGATGCTCCTGAAGAGCTTTACAATACCAGAAGCTAGAGCTATTGCTCTGATCTGTTCTCAATAAACTGAGTGAGCATGGCACCCCCTAGAAGTGAGGAGGGAGATAGCAAATTGGCTTTGATCCTGAGCCTTTAGGGTAGTGGTTCTCAACCTTCTTAATGCTGTGACCCTTTAATACAGTTCCTCATGTTGTAGTGACCCCTAACCATAAAATTATGTTGTTGCTACTTTGTAACTGCAATTTTGCTACTGTTATGAACTGTAATGTAAAAAATATGATATATTGGATATCTGATATGCAATCTCTGTGAAAAGGTTGGTCTACTCCCCAAAGGGGTCATGACCCACAGGTTGAGAAACACTGTCCTAGGGTCTGCTTAGTCTCCAGGTCTCTATCCTACAGCAGTGGAGCACAAGAAGGCAGAGTCTCTCACCACTCAAGAAATTATTCCATTTATTTGTCCAAAATCATCATCACCTTCTTCTTCTTTATCATCATTATCATTGTATGTTTTTGTATGTGTGTGCCGCATGACAGCAAAATTGTGTCTGAGTATATTCTATGTTGGCCAGACCAGGATGCAGGGGACTTGAGCCAGAAGCAGGTATAACCCACCACTGCCAGCCAGGCCACACATCACAAAGGTTTTATAACCTTCCCAAACAACATCACCAGCTGGGAACCAAGTGGTCAATCCCATGAGCCTGTGGGAGACATTTTGCATTCTAACCACAACACTCTGTAGAGACGAAAAAATGATGGAAAGACCTTGGCCTTAGTCCACTGTGGAGATTCCCAGTGGATCCGTCGTGTCCCCACCAACAGAGCTTAGCCTCAGAGAGCCTCTGTGCTCAGCACTCCAAAGCCTGTCTTCAGTCAGTTCCACCCAGCTGAGTGAGCACTGACCTCCTGCCTATCTCTATGTATTTCTCTTCTGGGCATTTCTCACAAATGGCATCCTGTAACAGTCTCCGTTCGTTTGGTAGGCTGTTGTTGAGGCTCATCTGTGCTATAGCAGGTGCCAGTGTGCCATTGGTCTTCATTGCCCAGTTGCACTTTATGGCATTGATATGCTTTTGTGTATTCATTCTCCAGGGGACAGACATTTGGACTATTTATAGCTTCCGGTTATTATGAAATAACGCTGCTATGAATATTCATACTCTGAGCTGGCATATATTTCATATTCCTAAATTTTTGAGTTGCATGGTAAGTACTCTTTAAATTTTAAGACAGTGTTTTCCAAAGCAGCTGTACCACTTTACATCGCTGTGAGCAAAATGTGAGTTCCAGACCTGCCACCTCCAACACTTGGTGGTGTTTGTCCTTTTTTATTACAGCCTTTTTATTCTTGTGAGTGGATAATGGTTCCTTGTTACTGCTTAGGTTTTCCTCGCTTAGTGATTCGTGACTTAAGTCACAGTTTTATGGGTGCGCTAGCTGTTTGCATGGCTTCTTTGGGTGTAGTGTCTATTCAAGTCTTCTATCCACTGTGTAACTGGGTTCTTTTCTTGTAATTGGGGGTGAGAGCCTTTTCTGTGCTCTGGCACAAGGCTGGTTCTAGACAGACGGTTCACTATTGGCCCCACCCACTGCCTTGGTCTAATCTGTCTTTTTATTCTCTCAATGGTACTCTCTGCTGTGCCAAAGTTTTAGTGTTAATGAAGATCAATTTATTTTTTTAATGGATCATGTTTTTTTTTTTCTTTCATTTCATATCTAATTACGTTCTATCTACCCCCAAATGAGAGCTTTCGTCTAGTTTTTTAAGTGCTAACATTTAGTTTGGTCTCTGCTTCACTTTGAATTATAATTCGAGTAAGGGTTTATTTATTGTTCTCGTGTGGGTATTTCTTGCCTTGTTTTCTCTCTGTTTCTTTTTTTCCTTCCCTTTTTTTGAGACAGTGTTCTTAAAAAATTATCATTACATCTATCTATTTTGTGAGCGTGTGTGTGAGCTTGCATATACGTGCCACAGGGTATGTGGAGGTTAGAGGTCAATTGCAGAAGTTGGTTTTCTTCTTTCACTACATGGGTCCAGGGAACTGAGTTCAGGTTGCTAGGTTCAACAGCAAACACAGCTTACGATAGCATTGTCATATAGCCAGGATCGCCTTGAATCCACACGTGCTGGCAAAATTACACATGTGCGCCACCACACACAGCTTGATTACATCATTTCCTGTACACATATGGGTTGTGCTCCTACACCTGAGAAAGCATCATCTTAAAAAGCAGGTGTAATGAATGGTACATGCCTGCAGCCCTAGCGCTTGGGAGATGGAGGCATCAGGATCAGGAGTTCAAGGTTATCCATAGACTGGAGGCCAGTGTGAGACTCTGTCTCCAAAAAAAGAAAGAAAAAAAAAAAAAGATGTTTTGGTTTATGGCTTCAGACATGCCTGGCTGGCCCCATTGCTTCAGTCAGAATGTCTCACAATGAGTGTGTGGTATAGCAAAGTGCCTCACCTTATGGCCAGGAAGCAGAAAGACAATCAGGCAAGGTCAGGCACGACACACCTGGAGAGGGTCCACGAGCAACTTCCTGTAAAGGCACCGCATCCTCACCGCCCATTCACTCTGGAATCAGCTGATTCACCCACTGACAACATGAGTACCCTCTTGAAGCACTAGCCTTGAACCAAGCTTTCAATACTCGACCGTCTGGGAACTTCCACATTCAGTAATATGGAGCTGCTCCAGTTCCTGCTCTGACAATTTTGAAGAATTACGTCTTCAAAGGATTTCTCCATTTGTCATCTGAGTTGAGAATGCAGTGGAGAGAAACGTTCATAATATTCCTTTAATGTGTCTTTTTAAGGGTCTCTACTGCTGACCCTTCTTTCACTTCTGACATGGGAAATTTCCTTTTTATCCTTTAAGGCTAGAGTTTTTATATTTATATTGAATTATATTTTAGATCTCTCTGTCTCTTTGCTTCTGTCTCTGTCTCTCTCTCTCGTGTGTGTGTGTGTACATGTGCATGCACACTTGCCCTTGGTACACATATAGTGCTCAGAGTACAACTTTTGAGAGTCAGCTCTCCCCTTCCACTGTGGGTTCTGGAAACAAGCTCAGGTCATCAGGCTTGAGTGTCACGCACTTTTGTCAGCTCAGCAATCTTGCCTGCCCCTTTGAGATTTCTTTTTTTTTTTTTTTATGTTTTAATGTTTTAAAAGGGGTGATTTTATTGCACAAAAGCTATGCCTCAATGAATCTGACTTTTTTATTTTTTATTAATTACACTTTATTCATTTTGTATCCCCCATAAGCCCCTCCCTCCTCCCCTCCCGATCCCACCCTCCCTCCCCT